ATCATAACTCACTGCATCCTCTAACTCTTGGGCTCATGCAAAGTGATTCCTTCCTCAGCCTGTTATATAGCTAGTACTATAGGCTTTCATTGCCCTTCCACTTCAACTACCATGCCAGGCTTCCACTATTTTTTAAAAAAAAATTTTTCAAGTGGTGGTGCCTGTGCTCAATGAGTAGGGTGCTGGCGCCATATACTGAGGGTGGTAGGTTCAAACCTGGCCCCGGTCAAACTGCAACAAAAAATAGCCAGGCATTGTGGTGGGCACCTGTTGTCCCAGCTACTGGGAAGGCTGCTGAGGCAAGAGAATTGCCTAAGCCCAAGAACTGGAGGTTGCTGAGAGCTGTGACACCACAGCACTCTACTGAGGGCAACAAAGTAAAACTCTGTCTCTTTAAAAAAAAAAAAAATTTTTTTTTCTTTTTTTTTTCTTCTTCTTTTTTTTTTTTTTTTTCAAGAAATGGAGACTTATGCCTGAACAGAGCAAAGGCAAACCAGTAGCAGTTTCTCAGGAGCTGACAGGTCATCTGTCAGGCCTCAGAGGTGGTTACACGCTCAGATAGGCTGTACAGTGAGCTTATAACCCACAACTTCCTGTGCCCACCTTGTGCTACTAGTGTGCACACCTAGCTTGGGGGACACACTGCAGCCAGGCAACCTCCAATACAATGCACCTCTCCCCAAAACAGGAGAAGTGAGCAGGCCCATGGCTGGGAGAGTAGAATTAGGACATGTACAGGCTTGGGGGTTCAAGTTAATTTATTGATGCATTGGATGCAATAAAACCACAACTGCTGTTATCAAAAAAAGAAAAAAAAAGAAAAAAGAAATGGAGACTTGCTATGTAGCCCAGGTTAGTCTCAAACTCTTGGCCTCAAGTGATCCTCCTGCCTTAGCACCCCATAGTGCTGGGATTATAGGCATGAGCCTCCATGCCCAGCCCTTTCATTTTTATGCAAAAGATTGTATAAAGCATATAAACAGTTCAAAGAATCATTATAAAGCAAATACCTGTTTATCCTCTGGTCAAGAAATAAGACATTGCCAGATCTTAGAGGCCCCTCATTTGTCCTTTCTAACTAACAGTTGCTCTCCTCCATTGAGGGAGCCTCTCTCCTATGTCTTGTGCTAATAGTTTCCTTTTTTTTTTTTTTTCCTATTTAACTTATCTCCAAATCATACTGAATAATTTTATCTGTGTTTGAACTTTATACAGATGGAGTCATACTATATATTTCTCTTACTTTTGACTAGCGTTATGTATCTTATTGTCGAATAGCGTTAGCTGTAGTTTGTCCATTACCCATATAGTTCAGTTTATTCATTGCACTATATGTGTATATGTAAATCGTTAGCAATTTGGGACAGTTACGAATACTTCCGATGTGAACTTTTTTTTTTTTTTTTTGAGACAGAGTTTTACTTTGTTGCCCTGAGTAGAGTGCCATGGCTAAATACCTCACAGCAACTTCAAACTCTTGAGCTCAAGCAGTCCTTTTGCCTCAGCCTCTGGAGTAGTTGGGACCACAGGCACCTGTCACAATGCCTGGCTAATTTTTAGAGATAGGGTCTTGCTCTTGC